ACACCCTAAACAGGCTAGCACTCCATTACAGTTTCAGGCTCAAGCTGGCTAACCTTCAATTTGAAATCAAGCTGTGACGCATGTTTTTAAAAAAAAAATTAGTCACCCCACGCCGGCCTGGCGTCCGAGTGTGTGTGTTCTTTGTTAGGTGACTTCCTGTTTACCACCCGGTCTGCTTTACCCTGGTTATTTTTCCACAGTCTGCACTTGAATGGAATTTGAATCGGCCACCTAAACCGTCAGGACACAGCCAAGCTTTCATCTCATGGTTAACATCATACGTGATGTATATTATATTATTATCCTCAAGCAGAAGAGGCCTCTCTCATCAGAGAGGTTCCGGGAGGCAGGAGGGGGTCCCTTTGCCTTTACCCGGGCTCTTCAGATGTTTACAACATACCCACAAATGTGCACAAGAAGAGACTTTGCCTTTTATTCCGTTTTTCCATCCAGCTAATGAAAGATGGAAGATGAAAGAGAGCAATCTGAACTGGATGCAGACTCATTTTCATAGATCTGGATATTATTATTATTATTATTATTGTTTTTGTTGTTGTTTTTGTTGTTTATTGCTTTGGTCTGGCATTTAAGAACTTAGAAATTTAGTTAAGATGAGGATTAAAAGTTTGAAATCCCCAAAACATGTGGACAGTGTTGCAGATCCTTTGAATATGGTGGGACTCAAACAGCCCTCAAGATGATGAGCAAAGACGTTTTCCTTGGTTAAAGTTGGTTAAAGTTTTATTTCAAACACGCGTCACTGTGGTTTTACCCTCATTTGGACAAAGTCTAACGCGTGCATGCTGGAAATCCTGCATCAGAGCCACTCATCCTCGTGTTTATCGAGCCATGAGGATCAAATCATAAATTAAAAGAAAGTATTATCGTGGATAAGAAATTAATCAAACCCTGGTCTCAAGATAATTTCACAAGATGGAGGACTGAAATGCCCTTCTTGTCTTCCTTCGAAAACACATTATTGTGTTTCCTGATTATTATTCCGAGAAAAACACAGTCTGCTCCATAAACCAGCAAAACAATGGAACGGCCATTTTTCAGTGATTGAGATGACCCATGAAATGCCCAATAAATGATAAAAGAATTTCCTGCTGATGGCGGGACGGCAGCGTGGGTGTAATCCCACATTATGAATTAGAAAGAAATCCTTTAATGTCATTTGAGCTCTCAGTAATGAATTTCGAGCAGTGTGAACGCAGAATAATTGAATGAAAAATCCTGACTTAATGAGTGCCGACTGAATTGATTTGGACAGTTTAGGAAAGGATCGGGGGGGGGGGAATACAGAGCAAAAGTGCCTCGTTTTTGTTAGGAATGAAATATTGAAGGCATAAACGGCAGAAGAGTCTGACAACCCATCACTTTGACAGGCTCAGGAACATTTATTTCCCCTCAACTGATCACTCTTTTTACTCATTTCTCTAAATTACGTCTAATTTCTAAAGACAACAGTGTGATATTAACAAATTTAAATATATATCTCTATCATAGTGTCTGTCTGAATCTCATTAATGTAAGAATCCTTTCTTACAAACAAACATAACATTTGAATTTTGAGAATGTGATGATACAAATAGAGTTTTTAAGTTTAAGCCACTATTTTTCTTTCTCTATTTATAATTCCAAACAGATATTTTCGAGGGAACTCGGCTGGCTCCTTCAGTTTATCTGCCCTGTGACCAGTGGTGGAGAAAGTACTCATACAATGTACTTAAGTAAAAGTACAAATACACAGACAAAAATTCATTCAAGTAAAAGTCAAAGTACCACATTATTATTTTACTTAAGTAAAAGTAAGAAAGTACAAGCTTTTAAAACTACTTAAGTATTAAAAGTAAAAGTACTTGCCAACCATAATACCTAACGGCTTATATAATGTCATTAAGTGTACCTATGGTATTTAGTTTGAATAAATCAGTAA